GAGAGGATCCGGGCAGGATATCACGAAATGCAGAATAGTTTGAGCCTTTGAATGACGTTCAGGGATGACAAAATGAAATTGGAAGAGCTCAAGATGAAAGAACAGATGCCAATAGCACCGCGACGAGTTATTTCTTGAGGGATCGTTTGTGTGTATCGCTGGCAGCTTGGCCCACTCCTCTCCCTGGCCGACTCGAATCCCCAAGGCGTGAACCACGGCACGAACTCAACCAATCACCCTGAGAATCAGTTGCGTAGTACTCGCGGCTTTAGATACCGTACATCCGTGTTCTTGAAGGTGTTCCAGCAAGTGCGCCGATGCTTCTCTGATCAAAGCTATCATCGCTCGAAGTGGAAAAGGGGGGGGGGGGGGGGGGGGGAGGGAATCGAACAGAGTAAATCGGAGGATATTCCGTAGCTACGTCGAGAACCGCAAATCATTCGCCTGACGGTGATACATCGAGCCTAGCTTCGGAGGTTGATATGCCTACATCGTCGGTGGTGGTTGTTAGATATCCCACCAGCCCAGCTCGCCTGGACACGTTGAGAGCGTTTGGGCAACGAGAGGGAATTTACTCCTTTTCCAGCGCTTCGCGATGTACAAGGCCAGCCCAACGATATTCATGGAAGTCTTCATGCAAGTCACCATAGGCATTGTTGAATCTTGATATGTGTGTTCTTGTTTCTCATATTTTACTATGTACCCCCAATCGCTAATCAATCTTCAGCGTCGTGACATTCTGGTATCTCCTTCTCAAACCCCCTTTTCCAAAACCGATAGTCCCAGTTGAAGGGGGACCAATGCAACCTCCCTTCGTTGAAATCCTTCCGAGGTAGACAACGACATCACTTCGTGCCTCAAACCCTCACTCATCCAAAAAATCAGACATCCGCCCAAACGCCATCAACCCAAGACCTCCCCCCGATCAGCAATACACAGTTTCCAGCCTCTTTAAGCCTTACCAGCATATTTCTTCACAACAACCTCAATCTCCCCCTTCAAAACCTCCTTCCTCTCCTCAGAGCACCAGCTCCCCTCCACGCTCCCCACAGCAATCCCCTTCCACTCCTCGATGCTCAACCCAAACGCCTCCTGCACAGCGCAGTAATTCTCGAGAATATACCCCCCAAAGTACGCAGGGTCGTCGCTGTTGATGCTGAACCGCACACCCTTGTCCAAGAACTCCCGAATCGGCATCTCCTTCATCTCCCTGACGCCCCTCAACACCACATTCGAAATCGGACACAGACTCAGCAGCGTCTTATCCCGCGCCAACCGCGCCAACAGCTCAGGGCTCTCCGCCGACCGCCGCCCGTGATCGATGCGCGTGACGCCGCAGTCGTCGAGCGCCTGCACGACGAACTCGGCCGGCGCCTCCTCGCCCGCGTGCGCCGTCGCCCGCACGCCCGCCGCCCGCACCGCGTCGTAGACGGACGTCCACATCTTGGGCGGGTACGGCGCCTCGCTGCTCGACATGCCCACGCCCGCAATCGTGCCGTCGGCAAAGTGGCCCGCGTCCCGGGCCTCGACAAACATGCGCAGCCCGTCCTCGACGGTGCAGTGCCGCAAGAAGCAGACGATATACTCAACCGTCAACCCCTCGAAATCCCGCTGCGCACGCTCCTTTGCGCGCCTCAAGCCCTCGATGACGGTCTCGTACGCGACGCCGCGGCACGTGTGCGCCTGCGGATCGAAAAACACCTCCGCGTGACGCACGTTTTGCGAGTGCGCCTTCTTGAGATAGGCATAGCCCAGCTCCTCGAAATCGGTGACGGTCAGGAGCACGGAGAATCCGATAAAGTAGTAGTGCAAGAAGTCGTCGAGCGAGGAGAAGTTGCGGTACCGCTCGTACAGGGCCTCGACGCTGGCGAAGGCGGGATCCTTGTCGACGGGCAGGGCGATGTTGTTCTGTGCGGCCAGGTGGAACAGCAGCTCGGGCCCCAGGGAGCCCTCGATGTGAATGTGGTGCTCGCACTTTGGGAGATCGACCAGGAAGTCGTGGAGGTTGTCCTTGCACATCGTGGGCGGGATATGCGTGTCGTGAATGTGTGGGTGTGGGTGTGGGGTGTGTGCGAGTGTGTTGAGTATGATGATGAGGGGGGCCCCAGATGTCTGAAGTTGCAGAGTCTGTGTGTCGTTTTGTTGGAGATGCTTTAGATAGAGAGAGTGAGAGGTCGTTGTCGGTTCTGCAGATGAAAACGACGAATGATGGGATGAAGTTTGGAGGCGATGCGATGCGATGCGATGCGATGCGCCGGAGAGAAGTCGCAAAAAGATGAGAGGTGTATTTTAGTAGAAAGATGTTTCACCCGAAAAAGTTTGCTCAAAAAATCTTGTCGACAGGTTTCTGCCTTTGCCTTTTGTGTCGTTCACGAACAAAAATAGATTTTGTTGGAGAACTTCTAGAAAAGTCTTGTAGACGAACGCACGGCTTGGTATCTGCCACCAAAAGTTTCTTTCTTATCCGTGTTGTGTCATATCATTGGATTTTGTTTTCTTTCACTTCCAGTTTTTTTACGTTTTGCCTCTCGTTTTGGTGACAATGACCCGAATTTGTCTCCATATTCGCAGGTTTACGTTATCAGGTTCCCCTCGTTGTCGGCGAGCGCCGTGTTTCTTTCTGCAGCGGAAGACGGCGAAGGTTCGGCCCAGTCTTCGTTCGCCCGCTTGACTGTGTCCGGCTTCCGACCGAGTATAAGTGGTTCTGGCTAACGCTGTTAGCCTCGGGAATATCCATCCTAGATAACAAAGGGATTTTAGACACAATGGAGTGATGGCTGATAGTACTAAAAGAGACTGAAAAGAGGGCAGTAATGAGCCTCCACGGCTGTCGGAGAAACAACGATTCCAAAACGACTAGCATTGACCACAAGGCAAGAGATCGCGAGAACGAGGGACCTGTGAAAAGGGGTTCCCCTGATCAAGAAACTTCCCGTGCCACGGATCCGGAGGCGAGCCTTCGCCAGAACGCTTCTCTCCCACACCCATTCCCACGCTCTCTCCAACCCGGTGGTCAAGAGAGTCTCCAGCAGCTTAACCGCTTCCCCCTCTCAGGGCCCTCTGTCGTCAGTGAGTGGCCCAATTTTCCGGGCCCGCGACGCACCCTGCGGCATTAAACGCACGACCAGCGAAGCCGTCGAACGACAAGATGGTTTGAAATATCCATGTTTGAAGCGGGCTAAGAGTAGTAGCATCGGGGATATGGGGAGGAAGACATTGGACGAAATATGACCATCGACGAAACAAGCTCCCTCCCGTTCTGCCTGTCACGACGATGATGTCGCAGTGGATCGGGAATTGGGCTAGGAACACTTTCTGTTGGTGACAGGCACAATCACAGATCCTACCCTTCTTTTCTCCAGCTTTGACGTCGGAAAGAGGTGACCCGGCGCACCTCACTGTCGCAAGAAAGCAGGATTGAAGCTGGAGGGTGCGGTCGCAGTCGCAGTCGCAGTCGCAGTTGCAGTGGCAAAGAGATGTGCAGCCGCAACTGACTGACATGAGCAAGTTGTCCGCGAATGGAATGCTTTCCATTTGAACAGTCTGGGAGGCTGGCCTTCGCGAGGGGGCCGCCAGCTTCCCCGTCACCAATTGTCAAGTCACCGTGCCATATGTACGTTAAGACCTCGACAACGGGCAGCCTCACAGACTCTCAGAGACTGACAGGTCCAGGCGGCCGCCACATACGACATTGGTAGACTGCATTCCTTAGGTATCATGCTTTGGTTTGGCTGTTTCTTCTTCAGCGGTCCGCCAACGGCCAGCAGTGTGCGGGCTGGCGCGCTCCTCGAACTCGTCTAGATGGTCTCGAAACCCAATCTGTGTTGCACTCGCCAACCTTCATTGGCTCCAGCGAGACCCCTCTCTGTCTGTCTGGTCTTTGAAGGATGTTCTCCCCCCGTTGCGACGGATAGAGCCTGCCGCCTGCCGCTGAACCGCTTCCAAAGTCTAGACCTCTGGTATTGCTTTTTCTTGTCCCAGAGCGCAGAGACATCCAGAGACATCCAGAAACCTGCCGATTCCCCGGTTATTTCCCACATTGGGGGGCTGAAAGGCTGGCAAGTGGTGGCGCCGCACGCCGCTCCTAGGATTTCTCGGTAGGGATCATCCCGGAGCTGAAAGTTCAACGTCAACTGGACACTTTTCGACGGCCGATCAGAAGAGAGATCCATCCCAGTGTTCGACTGCGGGGGGGCGACGGGCGGTGCGCCCATGGAAGGAAGAACAAGGGAAAAAGAAAAAGAAAACCGCAGAAACGACCGGGATTCGGTGGTCAGATCCGTCTTGTGGCCGCCGATGAACCGGGCGAGGCAGCAGCCGACGGGATGGCTGACTACGAAGGGATATCCATACTAGGTGGATATTAGTGTTGCCTCGCATCACTGGGACCCGAGAGAGCTGAATGATACCATTCTCAGACTTTCCCAGGACTATCCGTACGCCGCCGCAGCGTATGTACATATGTATGGATATCCATCAAGGAGCTGAGATGTTGGATAACGGCCGAACACGCCCCCTCAGGCTGTTGCTCCGAACTGTCAAGCCAAGGAATGTTCCTGGTCTTAGCCCGTGAGGCCCCTCCCTCTAAAAAGGGTCTCTTGGCCCTTGATATGCTTGATTATCAGCCCCATCCATGGTGGCACGGCCTGTCCCATGGCATCTGTGACGTGAGTCGTCGCAACCACCGATCTCCCAAGCGAGAAGGGAAGCCTCCGCCAGTCGTGCGCAAAAGCTTATCGACAGGAATAGCTCTAACGTCCAGGTGAGATGATGGAATGGCGGTTGGAATGGAGTCCCGTTGACCTCCGTCCCTTCATCCGTTGTGTCTTTTTAAGCTTGTCATGGCCGTTTCCGCGCGCCCGCGCCCGATGCTTGTTGCACGCGACCAGTCACCAGTCGTCCCGTTGCATCTTGATGCCCGCTGCCCGCCCTCTATGTTCTAATTCTGTCCGTTTGAAGACAGCAACCACCTTTTCTGTCAGACTTTCCATCTTCCTACCTTATCCAAAGACTTGGGATGCGCCCGTGAACCTTTTTATCCCGAGATCGACAACCCTGGGCCACGAGGGACACAAGCTTCTTGTTGAAGCGCCCGAGCGTGCGAGGAGCAATCCCGTTGGACTCTTTTTTTTTTCGCCGTGCTTGTATCTAACCTGCGAGTGAAGATGATCCTTCGGTTTGTCGAGCTGCTTGCTACCCATGTATCCGTAGGTGTTCCCCCTCTCCCGCTGGCAGGAATGTGGGATCCGCCAAACCCAGCCAGACCCAATTTCATGCAAGCTAGCAAGGGCTTCTTTGGCAGTGCTGTTTCATTCGGCTTGTTGACCGCCTGTTGCCAATAACTGCCGCCGCAGACCCAATACTCTCCGCATCCTTTGCCGGACCCAGTTGTTTGGAGGCACGCCGCACCGCTGCTCGAAAGCGCGGGTACGGATAAAGACTCAAGACAAATCACACGAGTGGCTGTCGACCGTTTTCAAACGTTGTATTGCTTCGGGAAAAGAGTGCGAGGTAATACGGATAGCCTGCCAATCTGCCTGGCCATCGGAAGCTAATCGGTGGATGGTAACATGCATGCGTGTCTTGGGACCGGACGTTGACAGCTAGTCTTACTGATACCGTAGCAAGCCGCGGCTGGCGGTACAGTCATTACGGGTAAGAAGGTGCGTTTACGGTCGTTGCCGCCATCGTCACACTGCTTCTTAGTCTCTGTCAGTGAGCTTGCCCGAGTTTAAGCTATGCGATGCGATATTGCCAGCACCCGTCCTCGAGTTATCGGTGGTTGCATTTGTGTGACATGACACGCATACTTCCTATGTATATCCTCGTCCGGTCTCCTTAACTACGTTAGATATGGCTCATAGACCACTCTCTTTAGACAATAACTAAGGCGAGGAGACGATGGTTGGATTGGTGGATAACTTTGCTGAAAAGACAAAAGTCTCACGATTCCAAGTGGGCAGAGGACTTGCCAGCCGGAACGACCAGCTAACTTTGCTCTTTGCGGGGTTGCACACCATTCTGCTTGCCACCGGGTGCCCATCACGCTACCCAGGAGCTGTTCCCTCCCGGCGGAGATACCGAATGGCACCTCGAATCCAGAGGGCGGTTGATGGCGTCTCCTGAGCACCGTGATTGACCGAGTCTACTGCCTGGGTTTGTCTGCAACTCGGGTTGCTGCAACGATGCTTGTAGTGTAACCTGCGCTGCACATGGTCCGTTTCGCTGCCCCTCAAGAGGGTGTAGACTGTAGAAGGAGGTGAAGAGGAGGAGGAGGAGGTGGTGGTGGTGAGGAGGGCTCGGAGAAGGTGCTACTTTCGACAGAGCTCCGTCGAGGTCATGCCGGCGTGCTAGTAGTGTATTGGGTACGCAGCATCCGTAGTACTCCGTAGACTTCTCGGCTATCACCCAGTGGTATTCAGATAAACTGCGCTTTAGATTCGCTTCGCGGATGGAACCTGGCAAGTTACCACTCCGGGCTGTCATGTTTCATATGGGCCGACAAGCCCTGGGAGCTCGAGCCAGCTTGCCAGGTACGCCAATCGCGCCGTCGACATTCAGTCTGCGGTCCGTTGTGGATAATTCTTGACAACTCTCCCGAGGGGAAACACGGTTTCCCTGGGCCTGAACAAAACTCTGATATAGTTGATTCATGTTGCGAATCGGTTCAACATCACAGCAGACTGGTGGCCGTCTACTGATGGTTGACTCGACGGCGGAAATCCGTCAAAAACCAAACTCCAAAGCTTGGCTATTAATATTCGTGTGAAAAAGTGCGGAGCCGATCTCACCTATCCGCAGATTCGGCATTCGGTTGTGATCAGATGCGTCGGCTCCACGGCTCGTTTAGGATAAAAGTCCTGGTTATAGCTTATGCTCTTAATCCGCGGCACCAAGAGCCAATGTTGACCAAGGGGCTGACAAGGAATGGCGTGGTCGAGGAGGATCCTATCGAGACCATACTGCGTACTCTGTAGTCCCTACCGAGTCCAAATGATAACTGTCGGTCGTGTGCACAAACGCGGACGTGTGGCAGACGTCGGCAACGCCATCGTCGTCCCCATTCCCCCGTGGAAGAGTTCTGGCCTTGAAGCGATTGACACGATACTGTAACCTTGCTGACATGGGCTTGTCCTTTGACCCCCGGCATGCTTGCAGTACCCATGGCCCCGGTCAGGCAAATCCTCTTGTCTGCGATTGACACTGAATCAATGGCGGCGATCTGTTGAAGAGGTGCTGTACGACTCGGGGATCGCGTTACATTGCTGCAAACATACCGTCCCGGCCGGAATGCTGCGAGTCGTGAAATGGATCCAATCTGCTTCTGTACAGTACACCCGCACCATGTACGCGACCACCTGTCGTGTTACCGTCTGCCACTGATCTGCGCTTTCGTCACGCAGCCCTCTACCATGGCTCGGGAAAGCTAGCCAAGTTGCGAACCTCCGAGGTATGTAGAGGACGTGAATGAGAATGGCCGAACAACCAGCCTAAGAAGCGGCGACTTCTCCGGGAGTTGCGCCAATCGTCATTCGCAACTATTGGACCCTTGGTAACCGTTCGGTGGCACGGCGACCTACGACAGAGGAAAGACGTATGTGGTGCTGACAAGGATGAATAGAACACCTTATCTTCCAAGTGAAGCTGGAGACAGCGACTCGTTGACTCTTACAATCGAGCGATGTCCATACTTTTTACCCCTGTCCCAAGAGAACCTCGAGCCTAGACATCAGCTTCGGTCCGTTGGATGGTTGAAGGGAATCGTTGAGAATGAACAGAAGGGATATCGATGTTTGTGAATACAACCTCTGAGATGCAATTGTTGATGCGGACCTGTGGGGTAGTAACCGGGTCCGACCACGCCAATGTGATATTTGTATGTACCAAGTACCCGTAACATGTGGAAGACGTCCCAACCCCATGGTGAAAAAGCCCTGTCGAGACTTTCGGGGGTCGAATGGGAGAGGATGGTCTATTCTTCCTGACGTGGGAGTCACTTGTGCCTGGGTTTTCCCATCGCGCAGTCGACCGACGCTGGCCGTTGTGCGGCGCAGTAATACCACAACATCATTGCGAGTCTCATCTTCTTTGTGTGCGGTCGTATGCGCCACAAGGCCACAGTACAAGGCCAACTAAGCAAGCCAAGGGGTCGGAAACCTCCTTTACTTCATGTGTTTGCTTGTCGTGGAGGTGAAGAGCGTGTGGTTGGCCGTTGTGTACCGTGGTACACGGCAGAAACGTACACGCAACCTGACCGGGCGCATGGGCTTCGGGAAGTGGGATGCGGCGTGCTAATGGATGCATCCCCGGCCCACGCGAGTGGTGGCCCTCTTGAGAAGGCCATCAGGAGGGGGAGGGATCGTCTCTCGCGGCACGACTTTTCCCAGGAGAGGCTAGGGACGCACTCACTCACATACTGCAGGCTAAGGTAGTCTCCTCCCTCCTCCCTCCCAGCTCATCTAGCTCGTAAGCCTGTGCAATAGCGCACTGCGTGCTGCAGGAGCATATTTTGACAAGGACAGGGCCTCACCGGGCCCGGGGCAATCGACCAGTTCTCGACACATGATGGCGGATGCGGAGCGTTCCAGGGCGGGAAGACGCGGTTGGCGAGATCAAATCTTGCGCAACGACGATGATATCGACTATCACCCGGAGGTTTGAGGCCCTACCATTGGCCGCGTCGGCTTGCTCACCCTCGGCTGGCTGACCGAGCAAAGTGCCCAGGTGTCACGATGCATTGAGACATGGATCGTTGGAAAATACGCAGGCATATCTAGATGACGGGGGAGCTAAGAGTGTAAAGCAGACAGCAACTGAGGGCAACAAGCCCAGCCGCAGTCTACTGTGTATTGTGTACGTACAGAGCAGTGCTTCCGTACACCGTGCCCGTATGGAGTCTTTGACATGATGGTTGCGAGGCTACTCTGCCGTGACGGAGCCCAATGCTACGTCAGAAGCGTGGCAGTCTGGCAGAAAGTCGGAAAAGAAACAAGGGACGTGGGAGTCCTGGCGAGTATGTCGGAGGAAATTTCGGGCCATCGGCAGCGATTTCGATGTTTTCTGCTGGGGCGGCCTGCTAGAGCCATGCAAAGACCAGCCGCTCTCGGGGCTCAAGCCGAAGGAATGCTGTTGGATAGTTGGGCAGGCCACTCGCTGAAATGCTCTTCCAACGGTGGACAGTGGACACTAGGCCGTAACCTTAGCAGGTATCCGTAGCGCCAGCTTAATTTGACAATGGCATGTTGGAGAAGCCGAGCCTGGTTAGTTTCCAGTATCCACGGTCTCCAAGCGGGAACTTGGCCGTCGCAGATATAACCCCGGGCATCTGGCCGAACTCGAAGGGCTTCGAATCGGAGTAGCGAGCAGCGAAATCTTCATGTACAAGGCCCGCGGGCCATGGCAAGCCGCAAGATGACATTGGGACGTTGCCTGTTCGTGGATTCGCTGTCAACGGTTCGAGGCCAGGCCAGGCCTGGCCATCCTGTGGCCCTGTCACCCTGGGCACTAGCGCTGATGAACCCCCCGGCGGTGTTTCCCCTGGCGAGCGACATCCGTGCGTGTTCTCCGTCAGGAACGGAACTTGTGGGACATGATTCGGGGAAATTGGGTGGTTGTGACATTGCGAGAACATGATTCTCGATGGAGCCACTTTGATGGCCTTTGGGAACATCCGGATGCTGCCGACTGATCAGGAGGTACGGGGACGGAATCCCTCGAGTCGAGTGGCCTGTAGACATGAACTTGTCAATCTGCGGGCTTGGTAGCACTGCCACTAGCCCAGGAGGCGGTCGTCATCAAAATCCCCGGCTGGCGGAACCCCCCCCCCCCCCCTTCGCTGATTCTTGCCTGGCATGCCCAGTTTCCAAAGGATCCATCCGAGGCTTTGGTTGCTAAAACCAGATGAACGCGGCGAGCCGGGAGGAATGATATGCGTATTGCTCAACCGTACTGTGAGATGTGCCAAGAATTCCCGCATGATGGTGAAGCAGTCCAGCCATCGTCACACTTGCGAGTATCCGTACTAGTAGATTCTCAAAGACCCCGAGAAGACGGATATCGGGAACAAGCCATAGTGGGCGGCGTGGGGCCGACGGCTCCTGGATCGGCAGAAGTAGGGCGAGAGTGCAGAAACAAGGTGCTGTAGCGTGGCGTGAAACTGTGGACGTGCGGATACCTTCACTGCGTTGTGTGAGTGCCTTCGAAGGCAGTTGGGCGAGTTGCCCAGTAGTTTATGTCGGACTTACAGCGGCGTTCAGTGCTAGAGCTGTCCGCTGACGATCTGGAGACAGATACGTGGGTTGCAGCAGTGGCTTTCCAGCCATCCCAGTGCGGCATGCGGTGCAAAACTGATGTGCAGCCGGCACTTCAAATCCCAATGGATAAGAGCGGGCGTGCGGGCTGATTGCTTCGGCAGGCCAGGCGATTGGGAAAAGGCTAATTGTGTTCAGTCGAGGCCGTTGAAATAGTCGGGTGGCTCGCCCGCCCGCTCGCCCATCGGCTTCTGTATGAATTCATAGAGTGCGATGTATCCGTACTGCATCCGTACTGCATCCGTTTTGTCTGAGGGATGCGAACGTTGGCATGCAACGGAGAGGGGGCCATGGGGCCAGACATGATCCATGAGCTTGCTACCGTGGTATCTTGTGATTTGCAACCTATGGGACCTGCCGGCTTCGTAGACCTTGGAAAGAGATCGATGCTGCCAGCTATGGTCAAGGGATTGATGCACGTCTCTGAATCGCCAATGCAGATCCCAAGCCGCAGGTTGAGAGATTGCTAGGTCCTGGAAAGGAAAACGACAGACACATGCATCGTATCGAGCAAGTTAGAGTGGGCAGAAAGCGAAGCAGCGGCAATGGTGAGAGAGGTCCTGGTCTAGGCGGAATATCGAGCCAAGTAGAAGGTCTAGCATGGTGTGGGTTCGAGACTCGTCGGACTCGGAGCAAGTACCAAGTGGTCCTCGTAGGTTTGTCTTGCGTAGCTACGTCGCAGATCGACGGCCTACAAGTCAACGGCTGAAAACTCAGGGTTCGGCTGTGCTTCCGGCATATGTGTCGCATCTAAGTTGTTCTGGAGCAGGTAAGGTATCTTAACATGTAGCCTCCCCCTGATTCTCGACTTGGGGAAAACATGCTGAGCTAACAACGAACCGTGGCTTGATGTCGATATGAATGCAAGTTGCTACGGAGAGGTTTGCCGAGTCTGGTTCAACACTATGTGGGACCCGGAAATGTGGCCGTGTGTATGTGCAAAGTGCGCTCGCAAGTGTCGAGGGACTGCGAGAATTGGAGAGGATGAAGAAGTGCCCGCATGGGTATCCGTACACTTAGTTGAAAGGGCCCGTTGGAGGAATACTGCGTAGAGAGGTTGGACTTTGAAGAAGGTTGATGACTGTACCGCTGAGGGATGTGGGATCTGGCAGAAAGAAAGAATGGGCTCAAAGCGAGCAGCCGGGAATCAGGATCCAGTCAGCCAGTCCATTTCGAATGTAGCTTCAGCATGCATCGAGCGTCCAGACCCAAGTTCCGCCGGGTCAAGGTGCATAAGTCCGGCTCCAGCTTTTGCTTCGTCTAGGGTCGGGGTTGACTTTGTGGATTGATAGTGAGAGGTCGAAGTCGTGGAAGTCTGAAGATGTCAAGAAACGAGACCGAGTACGTATACAGCGCGGAGCTGTTGTGGATTGCGGATTGGGGATGGATACGGAGGCACATCGGAGGATCTCCCTGTCAGAGCCTGGTGTCTAGTCTGTTTCGGGGTTAGTGGCGTACGTAATCCAGACTCTCGTCCAGACTCCAAGGCAAGGTACGTAGCTAAGATAGGTTCCTGGCAGCTGCTCCATGTCCTTCCTCTATTAGGTAGAGAAGGAACACTCCACCTCAAGCCTCCAAGTTTACTTCGGTAGGAAAGAGTGAACTGTTGGAGTCTTTCCATTTTGTGGGACTGGCTTACACAGTAGCCATGTACTCCGTACTGTCTGAGATGCCTTACCTAAGATGCCGCCAGGTCCCTCACCTCCGAAGTGGCTCACTTCTGAATTGTGTGCGTATACGTAAGGTGAGGTAGGTAGGTGCCTCGGTGGCCCTTTGGAGACTTCATCTCAAGCAATCACGCCGGGCAGACAGACAAATTCTGACACTGCAAAGCACCCACAAGTCCACAACACCCTCCCCCTTCACCTGGCTGCTTAGCCTTGCACGACTCCGGCACCGGTCACCGGTGTCCTGGCCCCTGGGATCATGGAAAGACGGCTGAAGTCGATGAGGACCCTACAATACGGGTACGCCTGTCAGATACCAGAGGACCACCGTCGAGCCAATGGACCTTGATCCATTGGCGCATAAGGCTCAGGAGATTAAGCAAGTGCCGTCTGCCGAGCTCCATTGGCTCCAGGCGCCGATCTCACAGTCAATCTCATCGATGGAAGCAGTATTCCGTGCCTGGATACTACGGCTCACACGCATGCAAGGTACATTCCCTTCTCTGCAACCGTACCTCAGGCCATTATTGCAGCGTTGCAACATTGCAATTCATCGTTGTTGCCCACAACGGACTACTATAGCCATGGTCTGACGCCTGTCATTGTTCAGTGAAGGAGGAGGAGGAAGAAAGCGCAAAGAGAATTGCCATCAAAGTGCTTCCTTGCGGTTGGAATGCAAGGAAGGTACAGTGGGAGGTTTAAAGGTAGGTAGGTAAGGTACCTACCTTCCTTCTCATCAGATATTGGACTCGGAAGTACATCATCCCGTCCACCCGTCCACCCAAGGACGCTCTCCTTCCAGTTCTATACTCCGTACCGGTACGGAGTATTCCCATTCGGACTCCAACCCAAGTCTCGCGGTGAGATACGTATTCTCCCATCGCGCACTCGCCCCTCTTTTCCATCGTCTCACTTCTTGCCTAAGGCCTCAGGCGTCACTCAGGGACTCAGCTCAGGGCAAGTGCCAGGGGATCTTGGGCATTCGGGCAGGGTGACAGCGACCCTGAGCCTTGAGAAGTACGTACTCCGCCCTCCTCAATCGGGACGCGGAGTGGGGGAAGGAGTGGCAGACAGGAGTACCTACTGTGAAGTACCTACGTAGTAAGGTACGTAGTAGACAGGAGACGGGCGGGCAATTCCCTCTGACTCTGACAAGCACTCACCAAACTCAACCACCACACCTCACACCTTACCAACCCTTGGTGCCTCTTCAAATTCCCGGCGCTCAGTTCTGGCCCATCTCTTACTATCCACGAGGCGCCGATCTTGTCCATCTTCATCCCACTTGCATCAAGCCTCCCTGCTCCTCATTCAACCAAATGCCGACCTGTTTGTGCGAGCTGCGGATACTCCATGCTGCCACACTACGGCCAACGTAGCCGACGCAAATTTGCTCTCCATCCCGGCATCACCCAGCAGCAAGCATCCAGCATCCAGCTTCCAGCCTCGATATTGCGACTCCCTTCCTCTGCCCTCATGGATACGCAGTTATGCTCCAGTAATCGTACCAACGCTCGAGTCACTCCTGTCCATCAGGGAAGTCGAATCATGACAATAGACTGAGGGGGTCCAATGGCCCAAACGAATCCAAGGGGGCAACAAGCCTCGACGAATCGATACTTGAGTTGTTATCCCGTACTTCGCCCGGCACGGGGCATGCCGTGCTATTCCTAGCACCACCATCTCGTTCCCTCCTCAACCCGCAACCACCTTCTTCACCATCGACACCAACACCACCACCACCATCGCTTGGGGCCGAGAGGGGGACAAACTCTGCTCGACTAACAAGGGTCTACCAGCATGGATGTCACTTGTTTCTTTGCCGCCTTATCCCCAGTGCACGCGCAATAGGCACCTATACCGAACAGAAACATGTGGTTAGAAGCTCTGTTCCCAACGACTAAGAGGCAAATGTAGAGAAGGGGTCCCGAGGGGGTGTGTGGGAGAGAAAACTCTTTCCTCCACGCCAGCACACCGGATCACCGCAGAGCTTACCGTTATCACTGCACGGCGTCCAAGTCTGAGCTCTCCGCCTCCTCATCAGGCTCACAACTTCACGTCTGCGCTTTTCTCGTCTGTTCCAAAGGGGCCGTAGTCAATCCCTTCAATTCTCCGACTCGTCGTTTCTCGTTTGGGAATGGCATGATTTCACCTGATTAATCAAAACAAGCAATCACCAAATGACTTTTTAGTTGTTGCTATTCTTGACATACTCTCAAGTCAACCAGCTCAGCCCGGGCACTATGGAACCTGCGACTGTCAGACGAGCTTGGCTCCCGCTTTACTTTCTATTCACATGCGGGACATTCGGACTGAGACTCTCAACTTTATCCCTCCTCAGATGAACGCTGATGAGCAAAACTGCGTCTGTCTGACCGCCCTATCCCAAGCTTTTGACAACCTTCGACTCCAGAACTGGCAGTCAGCCACAGTGAAGAAGCCTGCCGGAGACGCTCTTGAAACTGCCGGGAACGAACTAACAAGCTCGAACTAACTAGGTAGCACAAGACAAGCTCCATGGCTGGACCTTTCACACAAGTTGAGAACTGCCAGTGTGCCACCAACCAACCTTACTCTGGAGCGTACGCTCTACGTCGACCGTCAAAGCCTCTCTCTCTCTCTCTGTTCCACCGTCAGCCACACAGAATAGAGCTGTCCGATACCTATCTAGCGCCTCTGCAGGGAGAGTGCCGCCCCCTTCCCGCGAGACACAGCGCGCCATCTCCATTGTACACGCGACATCCATACACCAAAAGGGACGGCGCCACGGCTCAACACCCTCCCGTGCAACAGCTCGGAACTCGGAGTCAAGGCCTGGTCCTGGCAGCCGCTACAACCCCTGATTCTGTTACTGGCGATGCGATGAGCAGCTGCACATGCCATGGCAGTGGCACTATGGTGTCCGCACCAAGTTGTGTACGTAGTACGGAATACAACTAACTTTAGTGCAGACAGTCTTTACCCCAGTGCCCGGTGGCTTTGGGACTCGTCTCTCGCTCGCCTCCCAGGCTCCCACCCTTGGTGTTTCTCCAATGACATCGGGCTGTCACGTCACCGTGCCCATCACTTTTCGTCAACGACTAAGCACCGTCCATCGGTCAAGCCAACCATAGTTCGTACAGCTTCGGCATCAAGGTGATGCCGCTAGGAAAGAAGCTTGAACTCGAACGGTTGATGCCCAAGTCTAGCTTCGGTTACCTCGTCACGACTCACCAGTTTTCTCCAAGCGAGTTTGCGTATCCCGGTCGCTGCCCCACACACTTGTGGGCGGAACTCAACCAGCCCGCTGTGGAGGTCCGTTTGGTCTGCCGCCCTCTACCCGGCCGACGCCGCCGGTAGAACGGCTGAGTTTCCCCCTCCCGCCTTGGATTGCTGCCGCCCATTCTTTTCATCAGACATGAAAAATCGAGAATGTCTCACGGCCCGGAACCTACCTGGCACCCTAGAAGCTACCAGCGGTTTAGTTCGAAATCACAACCACAATCTAGAATAATGCCGTAATTTGCACTCAGATACCTTGTTATTCGATACCTACCTTTAGAGACATTACTTGAGAGGCGAGGTGCACGCAGCACAACTTAACCTGGCCAAATGCGGTCGATATCACACGAACATGAAGCGACTGTGCAAAACTACTAGTATTGAGAATAACTCATGGGCATTGTCTTATCCCATCTTTCGCATGCCTCTCTCTCATCTGTTCACATTGCCAGTTACTTGCTTGCGCGAGGCTAATGCAGCGCCACATTGGCAACTCCAACTGGGGATGGTAGTTTCGGCACAGACGTTGTCATCAGTATCATCACATCAAGACACATACAAAGGCCACACAGGCTTCTGGAGTTTTACGGACCTTGAACTTCTCACTACTTTTCACATCCCTGCCCGGGATCCTGGCCGTCCCGATTCCCCGCCGATGTTTTCCCTTTAGGAACAGACGGGGACAGGAACAGACCGGCCAAGGATAAGGACCCTGACCCTAGACAATACAGTTCCAACCTTGACTCGAGTCCATCTCCTCAAACTCCTAGCACCGCCTTGCTCCACGGCCCCAACATCCCAAGCATGTGGACCAGGCCACCACGTAGCCCGGGGGGGGGGGGGGGGGGCGCCGGCCTCACCACACTCCGAGAACTCTCTGCGCCCCATTGTCAACCACACCCCCCACGCCTCACCTCTCACCCCCCCCCCCCCCCCCCCCCCCCCCCCCCCCCCCCCCCCCCCAACCCCACGGGCGCGCGGCCGCGGCCCCGGGGGGGGGGGGGGGGGGGGGGGGGGGAGCTAGCGTCATTCCAATCTCGCAGATTTCTTGACGCCATTGTCAACCACGTCCTGCCGGGCACAGGGCCACAGGTACTTACATACAAGACTTTGACGCTCCAAACCGCAGTTGCTTTTAGGCCCTGGGGAACCACCCGTCCCGCGCAACCAAGACATCCACGCCCTCTTTGGCGCACAGGCAAACCACCGCCGTCGCGCCGCCGCAGACTCGCAGGTATTGACAAGCGGCAAGCCATGTCTTTGCCTCGTGCCTCACGTAACGGACGGTGTCCGAAATGCTGGCCCAGGAAAGAACCTCGAGAGGCCCTGGCGCACATGGCCGCTCCAACTTTCAAGTCCAAGCTGATAACTTGAGCTTGCGGGGTTTTCCACCAACATTGATCTCCATCTGCCACTTGTCACTTGCGGCAGGATGAACGATGTAGTGTGAGGTATACCAGCTCAACTTTCAGCGTTCCCCTCGCCAGTGATGGCTTATTCTTAGTACCGTCTGTTACTTTTGACCTTCCCCTTTCCGACGGCGTTTGATCGGCTCCTTGATAGAAAGAAGACAGGACGACAAGACACAGACACTGGCCAGGTGCACAGAAGCTCACCCACACCCCGGTGCAGGGATGACTCAACCACAGGAAATGCTGATCCGTCCCGGCCCCGGCGCGTTGGTGCGTGGGATCGCTGGCCGGTCAGTTGCGTCTCTTGCACCAGGCGGTCACTGCTTTGATGTATCCGTATTTTGCCTCCCTCGTTGGCTTACAATGCAGGCAAAGAAAAGTGTAGAGCTTATCTGTCGGGCGTTGGCCTTAATATCACGGTGATGGTACTTTCTCACTGGCCTACCCCCCGAGTCTCGAGTCTCTCAGCTTCGCGTCTCTTAGTCGAGGATCAAGGCTTAGATGCGTTACAAACCCATCAGACTTGTTTTGCATTACCTTCCAGAAAATCATATCTCACCAGCTATACCTTCTCTCCTGGAATTGGGGATCATTATTGCCGCTACCCACCTTACGACGACCATCATATCACGGGCATCTTCATGCTTCTCCCCGTCAGCCTCTATCACCCCTGACCCTTACGCATTATCACACTGGTCCCGAATCTTGTCATTCTCTGAAGGTTCCTCACTTGACATCGCCAAGCAACATCCAGGCATACAGCACCAGCAGGCCGGATTAGCCAAGCCTTGCTGCCTTCACACATCGACCGCAGCCTGCCGCAGCAGGGACAATACTCTGCAAAATTTCCACAACAGCTGGTCTCGTCTCTCTGGTCCTTGTCGTTAGGTTCGATTCTCCTTCAGTCCTGGGACTCCCGAATCCTGACACGTTCTACTTCGGTGGCCCCAAATCCTAACTCAAGACCCCTCCAGTCAACTCAGGAAAAGCGCTCCCCTGTAAGGACCCGACATTGAGTAACACGCCGAGACATACTGGGCCGCTCTCGCAGCTCAAGTCTGGATCCCAGCTCTCTCTTTACAAGATACAGAGTCAAGACCACCTTGAATAGACTGCAATACATCTCCTCCAGTTCCGGTGCTGGCTGGTCGATCTTGCCCTGGGAAAGGAACGTAGGCGAACAGATTTTTGGAAGGAAGCCCATTTGTTGCCGCATAGCGGTTCCGTCGGCCTTGGGCCTGTCAAATCCGTCACATTCCACCCTGCCACTAGCAACAACGAGCTCACCAGACCCTTGCAACATCACGCCTGTTGCGTGGCCGGTGGGCACAGCCGGCCGTAATCTTTTGCGGCAACGTGCAGATTCCCGCTCCTACGAACCCCCCCCCAGCCAATCTCAGCCCCTAGCCAACAGCCCGGAGAAGAGTCTCGAATTGGTCGACAGGCATTCGACAAGCACGACAAGTACGACCAGCACCACAAGGCAGTGCGAGGACCCCAGTTCGGATACCAAGCCTTTCCCTTGACACAGGGCTTTCAAAGCCTTCCAACGCCTCGCGTTTGAGAAACCCTCCAGCACTGAGCAGCAGCCGGTTGGTTGTACCTTACTCTTACCTTGTCTGCGCCAGTCCATCGACGTTGTTCTTCGGAGAGATCAAACGTCAGTCGGGGATTTGTCCTGTCACTGAGATATGCTTATTGCCTCTTGGTGTCAGTAATAGATGCACCACGTGCCTGGCCGTTGCAGAAATCCGCGGACAAGCCGCTACGTCGACACGGAACACCACCTCGTAGCCCGCAAACATTCCGACGTTCATCAACAGCAGCTTAGCAAAACGGTCTGGAACACAGAAGCTTGCCTCAAAGTCAACCATTAAGTTTGGTGCGTATGCCACATGTTTCATTTGTCTCGTTTCCCCCCCGTCTGGAGCCGGAATATGTCCTTGTTCCTGTCCATATCGCCAGCACCCCATCTTCACCCGGCCCGGGTATCGGCTAGTCGCCCGCCCTGAACCTCGACCGTTAGTTAGCACAGCCACGGACATTACCTTATGCCAGATTTTATGACAAGATCGGGACGCGGTTGAGTGGCCGAGGCCATGCCTGCCCAAACACCCAATCGACTCGTAGTCTCATCGCGGCCAGTAGCAGCGAAACCCCCCGATGATCATTGTTCGATAGCTCCCGACGAACGGCTTAGCGGCCCCTTCTCATCAAGCGCACGTCCATCGCCCGGGCTGGTTATGGTCGGCTCGTTTGTCGGCTGTTCTGTTGCGGCGCTGTCTCCATCCAGCCTGGCCTCATAAGACAGAGAAGATGATGGCGAGACGAGGGACATATGCAAAGAGGAGAATGAAAAGGACCTGGACCAAGTTGGCCCATCTGCACGCTGCTGCAAAGATTGCTGGGAGGATTTTTCGATGCACATCATGTCCCAAAATAGTCGCCCTCAGCCCACAGCACCAAAGTGTCAGTGGTACAACCCGAAAGAATGCCGGTCGATTCTCAACAGCTCCAAGCCTCCAACAACAAGTCTCCTGCAACCGAGTGCAGAAGCGGAAGAGTTTCCTGCAGATTTTACCTTAGCAAACCAGCCGAACCAACGACGGGCTCATTGCATCCATCCACATTGTATCCCAACACCCTTTGCATCTTACCTTGAAGCCCTCTCTCCTCTTCCCAAGTTCCCCCCCTCTAAGCGTGGGTGAGGGTTGCATAAGGGCAAATTTCACCCACATACGTACGTGCCTCCTCCATCCCAGAGCCCGTTTTCTTTTGGATCAGGATCTATAGCGGCTTCTCCTGTCTTGGTACGGCCCACCTGTTGCAAAATTCCCGACGAGGGAGCTCGACGCGTGGTACCCACGATCATACAAGTCAAGCCATATCGACTTATTAGCCCCCTTTGAACCCGAATCCTTGTCTTGGGGACCATCAACGTTCACGGTTCACATTGGCCCCCCCTGCCTCCTGCGCAAGAGGTTGAGAAAAGCACCCCAGCCGAGTCCAAGTGGGCTTGTTCGACGGGAAATGCCATTGAGTCGCGGCACAGCGACCTTATTTTCGAAGCTGTTGCCGATTCGCCATCACCAATCCTTGGTGTCGACGCTTAAAGGCAGGGATCATGGGGTTTCCTGGTGACTTGTCCGAGGTTCCTGGACCCCCTGCTCTCTTGAACCGGGACCCTGGCATCCCAGCAGCGCCCACTCTCCGGTCGAAACACGTTAGTTACTTTGGTTGATGAGCATCTTCCACAGCCCTGTTCTTCCTCCTTGCTTCCTGGGCCCAGCGGCAGCAAGGATCCCGTCCAGCCCTCCACCACTCTCCAGAGATAATATTTCCGATTCTGCTTTCATGGCGCGGAGAGCCCCGGATCCAGTCCAGAACTAAAGCCTCGAGGGCACCGCAAACCATCGTCACTAAAACCTCCGGCGGTGTTGTACCCGTCGAGTGACATTACGGCCCAAGACCACCATACCTTGCCTTGCCTAGCCTCCCTTGTCCGTCTACCTTACCCGCTTCCTCGTTGCTCCGACCAGACGCCGCTTGCTATTAGTCTTTAACATTTCTGCCACCATCCCGCAGAGCCACACAGCTTGCCATTCTTTACATCTCTCTACCCTCCGCGCAACCTACATCTGGTGCTTGTTTCCCCTACCGGCTTCCATCCTCCACGACCCCACGCCGCCCTCTTTCGTTTTGACTACGCCTGCTTAGCATCTTGCTCGCTGCTTGCATATATCATACAAGCTGGCATCCTCTCGACGGATCACGAGGAGTCTACACGCTAATCAAGCTGCTGCGTAACAGATGCCACTTGGTGTCAGCATCTTCGACAGTTGTATCAGACAGCACGGCAGCCGGGCCTCTTTATCGTCTTCTCTGCAGTCCTGTACTCGGAAGGCGGAGCTCAGACAAGCAAGTCATTGGACGTTAGGAATCTAGCCGGCTTTGGGTCACACAGAGCTACAGCACAACGGGTACGCTTCAACATCGCCAAAGATAACCACTGTGCCCTCGTTGCCCGGACGCGAAGAGATACGAATCTTGGGAAGGCTCAACCTGTAGAACACGGCACTCGCTCTCCCGGAGGATACCGTATTGCGCACCAAAGAGTTTCCTCGGAATACTTAACCGTGTGTTGGGTCCAGTACGGCAACCTTCCAACCGCAGGACTCGACAAACCGTCTGTATGTTCGTGGAGCGCCGTTTGCCCACCGTCCACCGACTAGGGGAGCCTGTGGAGTCTTCTTTGAACCAGACTCACGAGCACTGGTCCGTTGAACCGCGCTCCGCCATGGCTGCGTCGTCGCACAACCCATATCCACGATCTCCTAATCCCTCCACCAGGTCGTACGACTCATCTTCAGTCTCCTCTGCCACATCTCCGAGACAACCTGCCCAGTACATCCCGCGAGGTCTGATGAACACTGGAGCGAGAACAACTGCGGCACCACCTCCTCAGCCCATTGGCATCCCACCTCTACCGCCAATGAACCAAAACGCCTTTACGCCTTACACACCAGTGACTGCTGGCTCAATGATGGGCCGCGACTCTCTGCCATCGGCCGATTCCGTGGCAAGCACACCTGGCCCGTCAACAGCTTCACTACCCCCAATTTCCCAAGCTCAGAAGAGGGCGTACAGGCAGAGAAGGAAGGACCCGAGCTGCGATGCATGCCGTGAGAGAAAGGTCAAATGCGACGCTACAGAGACAACGAGTTGTTCGGAGTGTTCAAGCCGCAATGTCAAGTGCCAATTTACAAAAGAGACTAACCGACGGATGTCCTCGATCAAGCAGGTGCAGGACCTAGAGAAGCAGATGGAACGCCTCAGGCGGGACAATCTCAACTTGAAGAGAGCGCTCCAGGAGCGGGACGGTGCGATGGACGTGGATCCGGATGGTCTTGAGCAGTTGCCCCTTCAGCTACCGGAGCTAGGAGTCGAGATCAAGCGAAGAAAGCGGCCAGCCCCTATTCACGACTTGGCGCGGGCAAGATCGAATATGCGCATTTTCTCCAGAGGCATCTGGAAAGCACCTGCTCAGTACCGCCAGGCACCTTCGACGCCATTGTTTGATCCTCAGAGACCAGACTTGCCTCCCAGGCAGACGACTGACCAGCTCCTGCACACCTACTACGGCTCCGCGCACACCATGTTCCCTATCCTTCATTGGCCAACATTTCAGATGGGAGTCGAAGACCTCTACAGAATCGGCAACACGAAGTCCGTGCAGCCGGCATGGTTATCAACGTTCTTCGCGGCTCTGGCACTCGGCAGCCTATTCACCCAGGATCCCCATCGCGCATTCCGGGCGGCGGAACTACTGGAAGTTGCCAGGGGCATGATCGACCCTTGGAACAACGACTACGTCCTTGACAACGTACGCGCACTGCTTCTCGTTACTCTCTGTCTCAACGAGATGAACCAGAAGTCTGCTGCCTGGACATGGCTGGGCACGGCAGTACGAGCTGGACAAGACTTGGAATTGTACTCGGAATCCGGACCGTGGCCTGTGATTGAAGGCGAAACGCGACGGCGGGTATGGTGGACGATCTATATACTGGACAGAAGTCTGGCTCTCGACCTTGGCCGCCCGGTGCTAATCGACGACACTGACTGCGACGTGTCGCTCCCGGCCCCGGTGGACGACCATTATATTCACGAGGGAGGCATTATGGTTCCTCCCGGCCGCGAGCCCCTGAACCACTCCCTCTTGGCTGTTATCAACGTCGTCAGGTCATATTCTTCTTTGATCAAGACACTGGCTGCCCCAATCGTGGTGCCCACCAGGCTCGCAACCTTCGAGACGCACTTCAACGCCTGCCATGCACAATTCCCTCAAGTATGCGACACAGCCAGCACAGGGCAAATATCGCCTCACCTCCTGACGCCCTACACCTACCTTCTCCACGCTCGTCTCGCATTACACCGCCACAACCTGGCTCCGACTTGCCCGTCCGATGTACGTCTTGCTGCCATGGAGCAATGTACTCACATTGCTCTTGAAACAGCGTCGCTCCTTTCGCGTGCAACCCCGACCCTTGCCGACGGCGCTACTGCTCTCCTCACCACCCACACGTTCCGCTGTGCCCTCTTTCTCCTTCTGGCAGGATACTGGGACCATGCAACGACGTGTCTGCGTGCTCTAGCGACCATAGACTCGAAACGCGATGTTGCCATCCCCTGTGGACGATTCCTCGCCTTCTTCGTATCTACACTAGGCACAAAGCGCTCCGAGTATGCGGCATTTGTCGCCCGCACGACGCCTCCGAAACCATTTGCCCCACCTCCTCCACCCCATGGCCGTTCCGGACCTACCCCGCTGCAGGAGGCTCTGATGCAGGATGAGGAGCTCCTGGCATATGTCAGCGCCGATCTGCAGGCGGCGCCAGACTCGGCTTGGGTCTGGGCCGGCGGCGAGCGCGAGGCCATCCTCTCCCCGACCTCCCCCGGATCGATCACAGCTTCTGGCGGTGCCAGCAGCGGGCTCTTCAGCGCTGAGCAAAGAACTGGCTTGAGCGAGGAGGAAGTCAAGGAGTGGGGAGGGTGGGAGCGCCTTGAGGCAGCCTTGCGAGGGCTGGCCTCGGGCAACACTACGCCCACGCCGACATCCGCGACTTGGACATCTGCTCTACCGGCCGGGATCAAGACCGAAGGCACGCCGACGTTACCGAGCATAATCCCTGGCCCCGGCGAAGGCAGCAGCACCAACAGCCCAACAACGAGCACCAAGGGCCGGCCCCAGGACAGGTTGAGCATCGCAAACATCATCTAGAGAGAGGCAGGGGCTCAGAATCGAACCCCATGCTCTCTTCTTGAAGCGGCTCAATCTTGCATAGCACGGGGCAGGCCGGTAGATCGGAGCCCTATCCATAGGGGTCCCCAAAAGCTGCATAACAACCACTTCATGATGTTTCATTACATCAAAACAAACACTAGGCAACAAATCATGACTGTTTACGAACGTCACGGAAATGAAGCCATGCATACTATGTCGAACTCCTACAAATGGGTCTTTGTCATGATGGCCCCATGACAGCAAGCCGGATTCAAGGAAAGAACTCCGATGTACGATAATGTGTTGATGCAAGGGGCTTAAAACGCCTTCTTCACTCGACTTCTCTCTCATCAACTTTCTTCTATTGAAAGATTTACTTTGCTCCGATCATTCCTTTTTCTCTCTTTTGGATCTCAACAAACTCTGAGCGGGAGTAGCCATACAGGCCCCCTCAAACCATTCGTTAACACCTTAATGTATGCACCATCTTAGCAGCAAGAGGCGAGAAAGGGTGGAGGTACGGCAGTAGGCCAGAAGCTTATTCCCGGTTGCTTTTTCTTTTTCCCTCTTTGTTCACGGCCCGGTTCGCTGGATGACCGCGCCTGGGTAAAACAAAAAAAGGATTCGCAAACACTTCGAAAAGAAGAGGGCTATGGCATAGGGATGGTTTTTCGTAATGGACGCGGCACAGCGAGGAGGGGATGGGGAAGAGGCCGGGCCTTTTTTTCCTTTTGGTGCAATACCCAGCAGAGAGGATGAATTGGGGCTGGAATCGGTCTGGTTTTTTTGTCTATATGGCATATCGCTGCTTGTTCATCATATTCATTTTTTTACCATTTTTTTTTGGTTGTTACTGTACACTCCAGTACCACGAGGGGCCCGCGAGCGAGCGATTGAAGGTAGTAAGCATCACCCTACTTTACTATACTGATCCCTCACCTGCAATGTGTGATGGTGGTGCCCTGACTAGTGAGCCAAGTCTCACGGTCGTTGCGGGAACCGGAGGCAGATGCGTGTCATACTTGACACAAGGATAGCATGGGGAAACCTTCTTTTCCTCCTTCCCTTTTGGCACCCAAAGCCAAGTCTTTCTGGTCAAAGATGGGTGATGTTGCCCGGGCTTGGGGGGAGGAGGGGGGAGGAGAGGTTTGCCTGCATTCTACAGAGCCTCAAGACTTTGTTAGTCCGGCTCAACCTTCCGCAGCTGTCCATCTTGAAAGTTGCACATCTTCCACCACACGTCTTTCCAACGCGAACAGTGTCGAGATGATGAGTTCCAGTTTTTTCCCTTCTTTGGACGGGAATTCCCCGGTGCCATGTGTCTTACATTGCTTGCACTGACCAAACTTCAAGGCCCTCCGGCTCGGCTGTCATCTTCCGCCCGTCCTTGGGGGCGGAAACTGTCCGATTAAACGAGAACGAACCTCACGGTCCCTTGAACCCCTCCGCCTTCCATTTTTCCCACTCGCTAATATCTCTCTCTCTCCCCCGCCCGCCCACTCACTCACTCCCACCCCTTGCTCGCGGTGCCGGGTAGAGTCTACACTAGAGAAGGGAGGGGAGGACCCGCTAGTTTAAACTTGGTGATCCTCGGGAGGCCGGGCCGGCGATGATCGTGACGGGGTTGATGCTAGAGGATTTGCGTCCCGGGATGATCAACAGCATCTATCCCAGCTATCCTAGCGTGCCTTTTGGCAGATTTCAGTGTTTGTCTCGCTTATTTCGAAGCCTGGACCCTTGATCGTCGATATCTACGCTCTGACCTTTGGAGGTTTAGTGATGATTGTTGTTTTACCAGGTCGCTTAGGTCGTTTGCGATGCTGGGCGCTAATGTGTGTACGTGTGTGGAGGGGGAGATGGAGACTGGAGAGAGAAGAGGGGGGCTGTGAGGTTCTCAAAACCCCTGTAAGAGTGTTGGGAGTTGTATTTGCCCGCGGATTAGTTCTGCACGGGGGCGAAGCGTGTGAGAGATGGTGATTGTTACGGTCACAGTCAGCTTACCTTGCCGACTTCATCTAGGCCAGACCAAGACCCTGCTTTCGTTACCTTGAATGAATACCGTCTCCGTGTCGCAGAGGCGTCGACTGTGCGATACGCACGAATAATGTTGACTTTGTGGAGGGATGGCCAGTTGTCGCGTGCTCGTATCAGTGATGGTTCATGAACCATGCATACGAGTTTCGCGCGTATTAGTGTGCACCCGATGGCGACAACGTTTGTCACTTCTGCGATCGCGTTGAGTCTTCTTCTGGATTATGAATTTATCTTTATGTAATCAACTTGCTAAAACTGTGTTTCGTTTCCTTTTCGGCCAATGTTATACGGGAACAAGAGAGATGGTCGCCAGAAAGAGGATATCTTCAATCTCAAAAAGAGGAAAAATAGAAAAGAAAGAACCCGAAGAATGGCTTTGCCAATCGCGGTGAGGATTTGAGCCTCACGCGGGGGTCGAACCCGCAACCTTGAGATTAAGAGTCTCACGCTCTACCGATTGAGCTAGCAAGGCGGGTCTTGTGCATTTGTTGATTGGGCACCCGAACTAGGGGCCTCAGTATCTTTGCTTCGAGCTACTCGAGCGGCGCCGGCGACGTAACCAAGCCGAGCGTTCTATCGTCCGTTTCCCCGGCGCCGAGGGGGGGGGGGGGGGGGGTTGGGTTGTGGGGGGCGGGGGGGGGGGGGTGGGGGGGTGTGTGGTTGTGGCGGGGGGGGGGCGGGGGGCGGGGGGGCCAGCCGGCGGGGGGGGGCTGTGGCGGCGGGGGCGGGGGGGGGGGGGGGGGGGGGGGGGGGCTCGGGAGCAGCCATGTGCGCTGTCCAGAGAACGCTTCGGAATGAAAGGTAAGCCACTGCCTTGGGCGTCTTCCGACTGCTCGTGAGATTACTCTCAAGACGCTTAGCCTGCTAGTTCTCTCCCATGGTCTTTGCTCTGGTATTGTGCTTTGGCATCTCCGCCGGGTAAGGCTTGCGAAGGAAAACTGTAATGAATCTTGAGTCTTGAAATTCCGGCAGCTAAAAATCTTGTGACTTTCCAGAATCGGCCAACTTGGGTTGAGGGATAGTGTCTGGGCTTCTAGATGACCTGCTCTCAAGTTCCTGTATCTCTGTAGGTATGATGTAATGAAGACTTGTCTGACTGAATTGCTTCTTACCTTAGTAACGGTTACTGCCGATTTCTCACAGCCGTAGACTCCTCTAAGGGAGCTCATCAGATCTTTCGTTGAACCTTTACGGACTATCCCTTAACATCACCGTACTTGAAGAATAACCATGACCGCACGCGCTCCACGTCTATAGTCTTCCAATTGGGCGCTCAAGAGATTCACTTTTTCCAGCTTGTCAAGAGACGTAACCTTTTCCTTATAGCCATTCTTCTCCCACACAGTCTCGTACACAGTTGCGACAACGAATCCGCTAGGGCGAACAATCCTAACAAACTCGTCAAAAGCTTCGGACCCTACATGACCCTCAGTCATCGTACCAACGCAGACAACGACATCGTAGTAGTCAGAGGCCTGCGTCAAAGGCTGGGAGAGGTCTGTCGTGCTCAAAGACCGGTATGCACCAGATCTCTCAGCGACCTTGAGCATTCCTTGACTGAGGTCTACGCCATCTATCTGCGTGGCTCCGAGCTTCGCGAGATTGACTCCGACAAGGCCTGTTCCGCACCCAGCGTCTAGAATCTTCGACGTTGCAATAGCAGACGGACCGACATACTTGACGACCTGCTCGCTGGCAAGGACTGGTGCGACGTAATCTTGGTCTGCACCTAGCAGGTCGCGATTGTAATTTTCGGCCCAGTCATCGTAGAGGCATCTCGTCTCCGCGATGCTGGTCAAGTTCAAAGCGCGCTCAATAGACATGCCGGCGAATAATTATCGGCGATGGCCTCTTTCCTGGGTAGTAGATGACCAAAGGCGGGAGCTTGGAAATGTGATGAAAACGAGTTGGTGGAAAGTATCGTCCTATGCCGTCAAGGATGTCAAAAGTTGTGTTAATAACAAGTAACATTCCGACACCAAGCGAGAATGACGTTGCGTAGCGCATCCAACAGGTTGTAACATCATGCTGATTGGCGCTGCTATCGATCTGAGCATGTGTTGAGAGCAGATTGACAACTTCCTACCCAGTAAGGTTGGTTCACTATAAGATCCTCTCCCAACCCCGTAATTAACTTTGCATGTGGGAGCCGAGTTAGCGCCACCATATGGCTGGCTTTTTGCTTACTGACTCTTGTGCCGGCTCTTCGGACTTTCGGAGTATGCGGGGTCGGTGTGTCCGAGGCTTACATTGGACGCCGCCAAAGGACTTTCGCACTTTGCGACAAGATGGCGATCTAGGGGGGATTTGGGAACTTGTTTTGCTTAACTTATAGTAATTAGAAATCATTCACATGTGTTCCTGTTCAACATCAAACCTGGCGTACAGGTCGGTTCCATAAATACCAAAGCCACCCTTCCAACCAGATGTCGTTCCTATTCACAAGAAGTTACAGTTCTCCATCAAAGACAAGAAATAGCTCTTATTCGCATCAACAAACCTCCTATACATTGTTCACAAAATCTTGTTTGGCACCTCACATCCTTCACAACCATGCCAGTCTACCCAAGAAACCAGAGACCCCTCCACGCGGCCCTCGCTGCAGACAGACAGCGTGCTCTCGAAAAAGCAAAGATGAAGGCTGCATCAGCCGAAAAGACAGAGGACGGCTTTGGCGGACGTAACGATTCGAAGACGCGAGACAATATGGAAGTGGTCGGCACTAAGAAAGCTAGAAAATGGCTCGGCAGCTTCCACATAACCTCGAAGACCTCGAACGAGAACTCAAAGCCTCGCACATCAGACTACCAAAGCCTGTAAGAAGCACACTTTGTTTACGATGATGATTCGATCTTCCATCAATTCTGGGAATGGCGTGCGACACGGATTCTTTCGAACAGTCTGGTGATGCACCAACGGTCAAAAGTTGAAGTCGCGATCGCAAGCACTCGACAGACGACCGCATTTGACCAGCCTGTAAACGAAGACCCTGAAATCTGCGACAGCATCATTGCGTTATCACAATGCTGCAGTCAAAAGTAGTTACATGGAATCATACAAAGAACGACAGAAGGAAAATCAAGGTGTTCAAGGGCGTGGTGATAAGGGTCACGTCATTATGTTGGCCTTGGTTATTGAGACAGGGGCAACCGCGTTTCGTTCATGGCAAGGAAAGTCAGCGGCTGGGGCTATGGTCTTTTGTCTACGAGCGATATTTTCGACTGTTATTCTGTGCAGGAGTTACGGGAAGGTGGCCAGAAGGCTAGCCGCAGCAGGCGTCGGTGTAGGAGTTTTTTGTTGCTGATTTATCAATCTATACCCCTACCTCAGGTTTCTCTATCACAAGGCTAATGTCCTGAGAACAAATTTACCACTGTAGTTTCAAGATGAAGGTGCCTGTAGAATCAAGTCTCTAACAACATGCCACCTATTCACTGGGATGGAATATGTAACCAAAACCACGGCAAACCTTCTAGTCCATGGAGCAAGCCTGCCTTATCACTCTCGCCAGTTTCTCCTTCAATGGATTCTGTCTTGCATCAACTCTTCTACAACCATATCGATCAGTTCTGTACGCCAGTTGGCAGATGGGTTGGCGATTCCTACCTGGTCCTGGCGACAGCCAACTCTCGATCCAAAACCCCATCAGGCGCGAAGTGTTCGTAGAAGCCCCTGATACTATTGCCAATCCCGTCAAGTCCTAGCATCTCGCCGATACTCTCCAACCCATACTTTCTCATGATTACTCGATTCTCCGGACGAAGCTCATCTTCGTAGTATTCCCAGGTCTCCTCGCGCGGCCGCCAGCGGACTGTTGCAAAACTGCCAAATGAACTTCCAGAATTCTCATCTTCGTGTTGGATCGTCCTGTCGTCATAACCAAAAGAGTCCTCCCAAGTGTTCTCCAGTCGGTCGATGACGATGATGCTGCGGGAATACCACTCGTTGTCAAAGTCTTCGGGGAGAAACCAGAACTTGGCGTCATCAATGTCGTCCATTACGGCACGGTTCCGAATTTCGTGCCCGTGATGATCAATGCATGCTTGTGCACGCTCTTGGCAGGTCAGGTGGGACGGAAGAGGGAAGCAAACGACCTCTATCCTGTCCCGTCCCCATTCGCGATTGTGACGCCTGGCGTGACGAGAGAGAGCGTGCGCCAGCTTTGCGGCCTGGGTTGGGGTTGCTGTTGGGGTGATATCATAGACCGCCATACCAAAAGGGGCTTGTCGCTGGGACGAATAGTTCCAGTCGTCTGGCTGAACGGTTGTGGGTTTCACATATGCTGCAAAAATCGGAGTGCCGTCGTAGCTCGGTGCAGGTGTTACTACTATTTCGATTGTAGTGAGCTTACGCCTGAGTGGTATCACTGGTGCGTGGTGAAGTTGAGGTTCACTTTCGTCGCCGTCTTCGTCGCCTTCATTCTCTGAAGGAACGTCCGGGAATGGGTCGTAAGAGAGCCGCTCGCAGGCGCGACACATTGTTGCATCACAATACTTTCTGGTGTTGACTTATTCAGACTCGATCAGGAAGCAACATAACATTCAAGCTGTGCGATGACGATGGGAGAAAATTTCACAGCAATGAAAAAGGAGACTTTGTCCCAAGGCTCATGGGCACAAGTGCTGGTCCCTAATTAGTGATGGAACGAGTAGGGTCGGCGCTATCATGAAGTGGGGACTGATGCCTAGAGCCGGCGAAACAATTACGATTGACAGCTGATCGAGGATTAGCCACAGTCTACAGTAATTGATCGTAGATCGACATATCTGTAGTTGAGTACGGTCTTTTGGATAAGCTGGGGAGTTTTATGCCGTTGCCATGCCTGAACTATGGCAGGCGCATATAACAAACTTTTCATAGAGAGACACAGATTCCGAGGAAATCATGTAGGATTAACAACAAAGACCCGCCAACGTCACCGGGAGTAATGAGACCGATACGCTACGATTGAAGAGGAAATGGTTCCAAGTCAAGAAAAACCATCGTGATGTGGTATATCAAAGTGGAAACAAGCATGTTTTTTGTTGTAAGCCTGCAATAAGCCTGCAACCTGCTCCATGAGTCTCTTCTTGAGATAGAAACTTTCAAGACCTCACTGTCGGATTGGAATTCCAATTCAACCTCGAAGGGCGGCCGCGTAGGGACCAACCACCTACAGCCCCTACTTCCATCCCAGCTGCCCATCCGACCTACGCTTGTTCGTGTCCCTTTGACACACTACGCAGAATTACCCAATACAGTCATTCTGACATCTCCGTCGCCCACGGAACTCATCGGTTCGAATCAACTACCCTGTGAAAGGGATACCAACACTCACACACAGCCAAATCAGTGATCCGGCATGTCACTAGATTGGCCGATTGGTCAAAATTGCAGGCTGAATGATCTATGCACTTGTGTAGAAAGCGATGTCGGACTTGTGATGCCAGTATTCGTGCGAACGCTTGCAGCTTGTGTGATCGAGGAACGATGGCGTATCGAAGGCCTTGTAATGGCGTGCGGCTTGCCTTATCATCGAAACGCGGGCCAGCAACAGCGGCGAGTATATGAAGTCAAAGCCAGAGACAATTTGATCGAGAATAAGGGGTGAACAAGTGTAATTTGTGTAGTAGTTGTTATACGTATGTTTGTCACTGCCACTAAGGTAGTCTCACATCACCTCTTCCATTCGACTCAATTGAAGAAGCTCAAACGCGACACAAACTATGTCGGCACCCGCACCGCAAGACCCTGTCTCTCACGTTGACGCCAAAAAGCTTGAGGCTGTCAGGAGGAAGTATGCCGAGGAAGCAGAGAAGAGGCTGAGACCAGAAGGCTCTGCACAATTTCAACCCCTCAACGAAGCCTCAGAGGATCGACTACACTCACTTCTCGATGATCCGTGGGCGGATCACGCAAGACTGAATGCCAAACCATCGCCATTCCGCGATACCAAGCATACCCGATTTTTCGTTCTAGGAGCCGGATTCGGAGGCCTACTATACGCGGTAAACCTCATTGAATCTGGAGTTGCAACCGCAGACGAAATACGAATCGTCGATGCGGCTGGCGGTTTTGGCGGGACTTGGTACTGGCATCGGTATCCCGGACTGCACTGCGACCTCGAGAGCTATTGCTATCTACCTCTTCTTGAGGAAACTGGTTACGTCCCGACCAAGAAGTACGCCCCGGCCGCGGAAATCCGACGATATGCGGAACTCATTGCGTCGCGATGGAAGCTTGACGACAAGACTCTGTTCCGGTCTGACGTGCGTAGTGTGCAGTGGGACGATAAGAAGGAACTCTGGAATATCAGTCTCTCTGAGAGACGTGGTCCTGGAGAACCTGTGATCAAGCGAGAGATCCAGGCACAGTATGTTTACCTGGCCGCGGGTGTTCTCACAAAGCCACAAGTGCCAAAGATTCCCGGTCTTCTTTCCTACAAAGGGGACATATTCCACACGTCCAGATGGAACTATGATGTCACCGGCGGATCTCAAGAAGATCAAACACTCACCAACTTGCGAGACAAGAGGGTCGCAATAGTCGGCACGGCTGCAACGGCCATAGGAGCAATCCCCACGCTCGCCAAGTTTGCAAAGAAGTTGTACGTGGTGCAGCGAACGCCGGCCTACGTCAAGCAACGCGGTCAACAAGACACGGACCCCGAAACTTTCAAAGCTACAGTCGCGAGGAAGAAAGGTTGGCAATTCGAGAGGCAAATCAACTTGAACCGACACATGACAAACGCCATCTTGCCAGGCCAGTCCAATCTGGTCAACGATGGCTGGACCGATATGCCAGCCTACTCCGCAGTCATGGGTTCGCCCGCCCATGGCATCGTCAATCCCTCCCCTGGGGACCAAGACCGAAGGGCCACCTGGTTCCACGCCTTGGACCTGCCACATATGGAACGTGTGCGCGCTCGAGTCAGCAGCATCGTCAACGATGAAGCTACCGCGGAGAAATTGAAGCCCTGGTACCCCTCTTGGTGCAAACGTCCAACATTCAGCGATGAATATCTGCAGGCTTTCAACGAGCCGCACGTACATCTCCTCGACACCAACGGCAGGGGACCATCTCACGCCACAGAGAGAGGCATCGTCGTCGCCGGTGAGGAGTATCCCGTCGACGTCATCATCTTCAGCACAGGCTATTCCGTCACCGGTGGTCGCACGGGAGGCAGTCCAGCAGAACGAGTCGGCATCGAGGTTCTCGGACGTAATGGCATCTCATTGGACGACAAATGGCGTCGCAACGGTGCTGCCACACTGCATGGATACCTCACGAACGAGTTTCCCAACCTCTTCTTCTCTGGTACGTCTCAGGGTACCATCACAGGCAACAATGTGTTCATGTTGGGTCTCATTGCTCGACATGTCACGTACATCATCTCTGAGGCTGAGGGACGAGTGGGTGCTGGCCAAAGGGCCATCGTCGAGGTGACACGAGAAGCAGAGGAACAGCACAGTCTGGAGGTTGCTAAGAGGGCTCCTTTCTTTTCGTCGCTTGCGGGATGTACCCCGGGATATTTCAACGGACACGGTCAAGCGGCCTCAGACGACCCAAGAGAGAGGGCCAAGCAGGCACGGGGTGTCGTGTGGGCTGAAGGTACGGTCTCTTTCTTGGAGTATATTGGTAAATGGAGGAACGAGGGAAAGTTGGAAGGGATCTCCATTTCAGCGCGACCTAGACTCGCGGCGAATGGCAGTGACAGATTGTCTAAGCTTTGATGCAGTATCTACTAAACCTAGGTCTTAAGCATACTCAGCCCTTATGCTGTTAAGGCAGTTCAGGTGACTGAAACTGGATTCATGGGAATTGAGGATAGAGAATTCCCAATTCCCATGCACTATCGAGCGCTCGCACGATGAGACAAGCGTAGGGTCAGAGGTCCATTGCAGTCTTGGTTCACCCCCGTGAACAGCACAAGCATAACTTATCCTTGTAGCTCTCAACCTAGCTTGATTAGAAAGCCCAGCAAGATATTTGACACTCCAATGGGAGACTTTAAGCATATTTCAAAATGTAGTATGCAATAGTTCACATGTATCGAAGGATCTTCCAACACTGGCATTCGCCTGCGATATACCTTTGTCACTATTGTCACGATTTCTACGAATCAAAGTTTGAAACGTAGATACAATTGATTTCGATTTTGAGTTGACGATTCCGACCCGACACAATATGTCTGCCTCCAGGTTAAACATCAAAACACTCTGACCTCTCAGCAAAGCGCTCTGTCCACTCGTAACTTTGTGGGCGTTGAGTCGTGCAGCCGGCATGCTATGATACAGTGATCTCAGGCAGCAGCAGATAATCAAAAAGAATCTAGATCACATGTGCGGTCTATAGAATCGAGACGATGACGGATGTAACCGCTACTACTTGATATCCATCTGGTGTCAAAGTGGCGGGACGTCACGGAAAGTATGCAAGATATTGGATGCCGGACTTGGAAGCTCGAGTCGAGTCGACTTCCCAATGACGCCGCCTCGAATCTCGGAGTTTTCATGAACTCTGTAGCATGATGAACTCGAATATCTGGGAGAAAGAGATTGAAGAGTGACATCAGGACTCATCACATAGGCTGGGTGAAAGACATGCCTCAGATTACTTCGGAACAAGCTTGGCGATGACTTTGTAGGTGTTCTCGTAATCAAGCTGTCGATGAGCTCGGACTCGGTCATTATCAGCACTTCGAAATGACGTTGAATATCCTTTCAGACGAAAAGAGGCGGGCTTTTCCAGAAAACCGAAGGTACCGGAAGACTTTCTTGTAAGTCGAGCCTCGGTCTGGCTTCAAAGCAAGATCGAAAAAGTATCTCAGGAGTCATCACTCCGTCAAGTCCGATGCCCGCAGATTCCGTGTTCGCATGTTAAACTTGCTTTTTCAACGAAGTATAGCGGAGGTGACGGCAATTTCAAGCTTCATCGGTATCAAAACTTTGGGACGAGGACGGAGATCAACGGACATGATCACTGCTGACTTGAAAAAGGGTGTAGGAAACCCAAGTATAAGAATTTGGCGCAACCCTCTTTACCAGCTTCAACTCTTGGGAATACAGATCCATCACATCTCTTCACCCATCTGAATAGCCAGTGACAGCACCCACACCCTCATCCTCCCTGTCATCATCGTCAACAAACCTGTTTCCAACAAATCATCATAAACAAGCATCCAAAATTCCCGAGACTCCCGCCAATCTAAACTCTATCCACGCAGTCGGGACACCCGCACCAAACCCCTCAGCACCCGGAACCCCCGCAAACTCAATCTCAAGAAACATTCAGCCATCTCATCACACCAGACCTTCTTCGCCCCTTTATACACAATGAAGACCTCCCACCTCTTCCTCCTCGCCACCCCCATCCTAGCGGCCGTAGCCCCAGCCACAACCGCCGAACAGTGCGGATTCCTCGGCGTAATGACATACACCGCCGCATCCCTCGACACCTTCGTCGCCGGTGGCACCGGCGTTGATCCCGCACAGATCCGCACGTGCCAGGACCACCCCCTAGGCCCGGCCCCTCGACCCGAACACGCCGTCGGACCCCGTCCTGCGCCCGCAGACAACAAAGTGGGCGGAGGAGTCAACTCCACAACCGTAAATCGCTGGGGCTGGGGCTGGGGCTGGCGGCACGGTGGCGGCGGCGGCTGGGGTAACTGCTGGGACGTCGATCCGGGCGACTACGGCTGCTCGGGGGGCTACTGCTACAAGGCGTGTGACGGGGACGGGCGGTGGTGCTGGACTGCGCGGAATAGGGGGTACGGAGACTGGCAGACGTGCGATAGAGATTCCGATTGTGCAAATTTGGATAATGTTGGGTGCGGGAAGGGGTGTAAATCTTGTGGGTGTGGGTGTTAGTTGAAAGCCTCATCGCTTTCGCTTAGATCTTTTCATAAAGTCTACTGTGGTTCGTGATGTGTCATAGGACCGGGGAACGCGGCTGAGTTCTGGTGTTTGGGTTCCTGGTATTGTGCGTACTTAGTCTGGTTAGTTCAGTCTTATTAAAGCGGCATTGATTAATGACTTTGGGATTTCCCCTGCTCGTGATCGGTCTGGGCTTTTGGTTATGACCTCGTTTTTGCACGTGTCATCGTTGCTTGGATGACCATCTTGTCCCAAGAGTTGACGTAAACGGACGCGGCAGCGATGCATGCTTGATGTTGATCAAAAATCTGTCACAATCACAAACCAGGATAAGAAAAATCATTTCAGATGGAGCTGAAGTCGTCCTCAGTCGCAGCTTGAAGATCACATAGAGATTGCGAAGTTCCATTGGGTTAGGGAAGATGCCATTACTCTCACCTCGTAGATGATGGCGATTTTCTATTCCAAGAGAAAATCTGATCTCGATACACCTCAACATGATGAAAGCAAACAAGAGATGACAAAAATTTGGGTATCATAACAAGGAAATCTAGGAACTTTCAAGGAATGAGAGGATTGACACATGCTGTGCCAGTGCCAGCAGCCCGACTTTCCCTTCACATCAGATACCTTAAGGTCCAAAATTCAAATGACACCCAAGATATTGAAGGTTAACAACCGAATGATCTTGCGTCATCGTTCCAATCTGTTGACAACTAGAATCGAATGTTGGATTATATGCGTAGTAAATCTGTTCTTGGTCAATGCTCGTTGCCATGACATTAGTGGATAGTGTCGAGATATTGGACAAGCCCTCGGTCAACGACGGCACTTCGGATTTGATAGACGACTGTGTGAGAGACGGTCGGTCCTGGAAATCGCGAATCCACTTCAGACATATAGTAATCTCCCGCTGAACGCTGTCACAGGTCTGAAATTGCCTCTGTGAGTCCAGGAACTTGCAGAATTTATCAAGTCCATCAAGTTCGTCGCGATCTAAGCAGTAGTCAGCTGTATATTCGTGCTTGGCCTTACGGCAGCTCCAGCTGGGCAATATGAAGGACACGTACAGGGTGAAGGCATGACCTCTGGAGATGTCGGTCCGAAGATGATTTTGTAGATCTCCCCCCACTTGCCGGCTCCATTCATCCCGCGCATCTGTCCTTGACAAGAGCTCCACTGAGCGTCGTCCATGTTATCATCGGCGATGGCAGGTTGCCTTTGGCATTGAACTTCAGAATTGTAGTGGTCATTGAGTTTTTCTGCCGATGACAGTCGCACTTGACACCTGCTACATTTGTATCCAGGTTCGCGATGGTTGCGACGAAGGTGTTCCCTATGATAACATGTTAACCGGTGCAATCTCATTCCATCTGCATGACGCGTTACACATGTCAGAAGGGGGAAGAGGAAGCTTACTTGAGCCTGTGAAATTCTTGCCAACCGGCTCCTCCACACGACTTCCACTTCCCCTTGCAGTATTTCTCAGGGTCATGCTTGAAATAATGGCATGCAAAAGCGCCCTCTACATCTTGACTGGTTGTCGGTGACTCTGAGACTAAGTCAAAAGAGCTTTCCGCTCCCTGTGTGGTTGCAGAGCTCTTTCTTGGCGGCTTCTGCAATCTACGTCGTTTGACTGCAGACTTCTCGTTGCTGGTGCTACAGCGCCGCTTCCCATTCTTGATGTTTTCAGGAACAGTCAGACTCGGACGAGATGTTGGGGGGTCTCCAAAAGAGAACGAGTATTCTTCCAAGTTTGGAGATCCGAGTTGACCCATGTCAGGTGAGATGGTGAGGTTCATGCCTCCATATACAATGTTCGACTGATTCATGGTATTGGCGGAAGGCCCAAAAGTTAAAAGTGGCTCTGTCGATGAGGCAGCCAAGGGGAAGTCAATCATATCGTCATACTCCGAGTTGTAGGAGCCGGTAGACGAGTAGGAAGAGTTGAACTGTGGTACACGCGTCGAGAATGGCTGACTGCGTTGTGTTGGGCTTGGTACTTCGACCACGTTGACAGTGATTGACCGAGCTTCACGACGCGCGGTCCCAATCGAGAGCTCATGCCTGCATGCCCAACTTGACATTTCTCCTCGAGGAGCTGGCTCTGTGTAGCCTGGGTCGTCTATACACTTTTCGTACATCTTCTCGAGGCTGGAGACAATACCAGCGCAAGCTATTCGCTTGGAACCATCAACTTCCAGCATCTTGTCTTGAATCAAATCAAGCAAGTCGTGAATGAAGGAACTCGCTTTCGGGGCGCGATGGAGTCGACTGATCCACTGTTCAAGTCTGCATTAGCACCCACGCATAATACGAATACACATCCATCGGGTACTCACGTCAGAGACAGCGGCTTTGAGCTTCACTCGAGTACCCTTTTCCTGGTCTTTGGAAACCTCGAAAAAGGAGTTGTCGAGCCGTTTACCGGTCTTTGTCTGGCGATTGGCGCTGAATTTCTTGACCCCCTTCCGGCCCAGAGTCATCCACGTAGCAGCGACACTCATGACGCAGCCAAGAGACCAAATGTCTGCCTTTTGGCCATCAAACTTGCCAACATCATGCTCTGGAGCACGATACGCCGGTGAACAGCCTGCAGGTCTGTCTCCTTGCGAAGGGTCTGGCCTGCGGCCGATCTGGGATAGGCCAAAGTCGGCCAGCTTCCACTGCCCATTTTCGACGAGGATATTTTCAGGTTTGATGTCGCCGTGGTAGCCCCCATCGACTTCTTCAGCCGTTTCGTGGTCTCTCGCGATGGAGCGCTTCTTCAGTCGGCAGTAGTGGATCGCCTTCAAGGCCTCGGCGACACCAAGCATTTGCTTCGCGGTCATGCTCGTAGGCTTCACCGCGCTGGCTGAGTCGCAAGCCAAGGAGGATGGCGGTTCGGTGAAGAGGCCGTGAAGGTCGTGTTCAGCCCAAGGAGTCACCAAGTAGTAGGTATCTCCATGCTTGAAGGTGGCAAGCAGCTCAATTACATGGGGTTGATCGGGGCCGCCAAAGGTCTTGAGGGCTTCCACCTCGCGAGCGTATTCCTCCGGTCCAGCGTTGAGAAGCTGCTTGACTGCGACTGTAGAGACGGAAAAGTCGTGATGGCCGTCGTGAAGGTGGGCCTGATATATGCGAGAGTTCTTGCTGCAACCATTGCGAGGCCCTTGGATTCCATGGGGAGAGTCAGGCATGACGAAAGGCAGGATAGTAGACGCCGGGAAGTTGCGAGTCTCGCTGTCGAGATCAGCTCGCGCAAACACAGGGGCAAGAAACTTCCACTGTGTCTCCTCCAAGAGTATCGACTCGTAGTAACTGAGTCCCATCAAGGATAGATCGAAGCTAGATCGGGCGACTGTAGACCGCACCAATGTGCTCGTCTCTTCTCCCGACGTGGAAGCAAATGCCAATGGAAGTTGCGAATCGTCGAGGTGATTCTGTCTGAAGGCTGCGATGGCATCGGCTCGACCAATCAAGACCAGGATGGCAAATATCTTGGTGTATTTCTTCTCCTTGACGATTGCGGAGGCATACATGCGGCGCATGAAGTCGGCCCCAGGGCAGGAAGCCCGGAGAGCTCCAAGTATCGACTTCTCGGAAAGAATTCGGTTGATATCAGGCTCGGGAAGGAACTCCTTGGAAGAGTCACCATCGAGACTGAAGGAGCGACGCATGGCTCCTTCCAATGCCTGTTTCAGAGGCTTCGTCATCTCCATGGTGTCAGGCTGGAGCACAACTGATGGAAGGATGGGGCATTCATTTTCGGGAGTAGTCTCGATCATGCTAAGAGTGCTGTAGGATGTGGATTGTTGATGGTTGCTGTCTAATGATACCAAGAGATCAAGGCTGGGCGAGGTGAGGTGGAGGGGAATTCTGGCAAAGGGGGAGCAGCATCACTTTAAATGGAAAAAGAATGGCACATTGCACGAGAAACAGGGCGATCGAACGTGCCATTAGTAGCACAAATGCAAGATTCGGTCAAGCATACCGCTTCACCTTTCTTGCGTATCTACGCATATGCGGAAGATTGGACGCGTAAAAATTCATCTTGGGCTCTCAAGATTGGTCAGGTTGAAGTAGGGCAACCAGGCGTCGAGCACCAACTCCAGCACAGCCTCACTGCCTCAATGCCTCAGCGTAACGGTAGTTGTGTCTCAGTTGGTAGACGGCTTGGTTCAATGTCGTCACGAACATCATTCGTAGCGGTTATTAAGCAAGAAAGAGCGGTTCGCATGAGCCGCAGAAAGGGACATGAACATGAGGAATGTTGGATGAGGGGGAGTGAGTGAAGTTGAAGGAGCTGTTTGCAAAGTCCGAAGTTTAAGCTTACCTCAGGTAGGTACCTTATCCGGGGATTAGATCGGACGCAGTTTAAGGTACCTAGGTAGTTTCCAGGCTGGTTAGTCATCCCCAACCCCACCATCCCCCCTCTCAGGTTAGGTACCTCACTCTCACACTCACTCTTCAACCCAAACTCACCGTCCATTCCTCAGTGCTCAAGGTACACTTGAGATGAGTATAACGTGAGTCTTTTTTTACCTGCCATCTCATCTTATAGCAACTCAATTGAGCATCACAAACAAATCAACGCCAACTCGACATTCAAAAACCGTCAAATTCAGTTCGTGGACGAAGAGGAATTGAGGAATTTACCTCAAATCCTTAGATAAGCCAACCAGACGGTGAGAGCGCCAAGAAATGCCAAGGAAAGAATCACCTTCTGGGCGCCTATCACCTTCCACCACGCGACCCTCTCGCCCGCTGTTGCTGCTTTTTCGCTCATTGATGTAATCTGTGATCAGTTCTTGCCCAGTCTTGCCAGTGTCTGTACGAAGTACTTCCTGCTGCGGTGGTTTTCACCCCGCTCCTGGCTACCCGTCTCTGCTCTGCCTCTCTGCTCACCTTTTTCCTTTTCTCGGCGCTCTGCCCAGGAAAATTCTCGACTCCTCCAAAGTCAATGCAGGAATCAACAACAACGACGCGAGGTCGAACGATGAAGCCAGCGACAAAGGTGTTGGTGATACTATCGACCACTTACCGACCCTAGCACATTCGTCTGCTTCTGCCAGAACTCCATCAGCTCTTTCTGCCCATCCACTGCCCAGCAGTCCGCATAGGTCGGCAAAGCCAGCACAACACACCACGCACAAACCTACCGCAAAGCAACCCGCACCCCACACCCCGCCCGCGAACAACCACGGCGCCGAGACCAAAAACCTCACCCGTCGTTGCCGTACTTCCGTGCCAGACGAACCACCTCTCATCGTCCTGCGGAACCTGCGCAGCATCCCACCAGGCAGCGCACGCCGCAGCAGAGCAGAGCAGAGCCCGGCGCGCCCACCGCGCTGCTCTTCTCTTCGCGTCCCGGGACCCAGGTCTTTATACCTATTCGGCCCAGGCCCCAATTGTTCATCGCGGTCTTGGCCCTGCGTGGCCTCTTGCCGGTTTCCCGTCTCCGGGTCCCTCTCAACACGCTTTCCCCTGAACACTTGACGTAAACCAACTCAACCGAGACGAAAGCAACTCCAGTCCATCCCGCCGGCCGGTGTCCCCTACGGATACACCCCCTCTAGAATGAGGCTCTGGTCCTCGAGCCTCATGGGGACCTCCCTCCTCACGGTCCTCGCGGGGTCCGGGCCCGCTCTCGCAACGGTCCCCATCCTAACAGAGGTCTCTCTAAAAGGCTGCGCCGATGTAGACTGCCCGCCCGGCGCCGTCGACGACCTCGTCGGCGAGTCAAACTGCACCCTCGCCGGCTCCGTCCTCCGCCGCGTCGGCATCGCCCCGGAGGTTCTCGACATACCCATAGACGACAAGAACACCACCGACATTCGCAAGCTCTCCCTCACCGTCGCCACCGTCGCCAACTCCCCCGCCCCGGCAAACTCCCCCAGCTGGATAAAGAAGCAGCTCTATACCCAATCCTACTACCTAGGCGCCCCCGCAGGACTGAATCTCTCGTCGGAGAGCTACCCCAAGGGATGCGCCCTCATCTTCCAGCACATGTTCCAGACGTTGCCCACACCGCACGAGGTACCCGACCTCGACACCACAGACTGTAGCCCTTGGCTCCAGCAGTCCTGTATGGACGAGATCACGGGCTACGTAGACGACTTCCGCACCGCCCACTCCAATGACGAGACCCTACCCCGGTGCCAGGAAATCGCAATGTACCTCGAGGAGCGGACGCGTACTGATAAAGATTTCCACTGCAACCTCGTCGCCGGCGCCGTCAACATCACCGGTGTCGACGTCATCGGCCCGGACGCCCCGACCGTGCTGGCGCAGGACGCGGGCGACGCAGACGACAACAACGACTGCCACCCGACGCTGCCGCAGTCGTACGACATGTTCAAGCTGACCGACGTGGAGCTGATTCTCGACGGGGACGGGAGCACGACAAAACCAACAGGCGGGCTGAACGGGTACACGCCCGTCATGAGCGTCTTGTTTGACAAGCTCTTGTATTCGCAATGGATCTGCATGAAGACGATGAGTGAGTACGACCAGCAGAACGCGAGTGCGAGGACGAGCACGCCTCTGGTGGCGGGCCTGATTATGGCGCTTGCGACCTTGGTAGCAATCATGATGCTATGATCGAATAACACAAAAACATAGCGAGAGAACGAGAGAGAGAAAGAGAGACAGAAAGTATGTGTGTGTGCGATGCGAGAGCGAATTTTGGATCACGAGAGGGAAAACAGGACTGGCCCGGATATTTTATGACTTTACGCAATTATATACCCCAATGAAACCACGGCGGAATAGATATGACACGCCTTATTCAACCCAAATGCTCTTGCCCAAACGCCGATACACATGCCTGACAATAAAAAAAGAAAGATGTGTTATGTGATGTAATGTTGTAGTAACAGTGATGTTTGACGAGTTAGATGATGATGCCGCGCTGCGCCCATCCACCCTTGCCCTTCCAGGCAAAGAGGATCATGCCACACGCCACCCATACAGTGACGGCCATGGCCCAGAACGTCGGCGCGTAACACTGCGCGCCATAGCAAAAGACGTCTCCGCCACCGCCGCTGCCGCCGCCGCGCTGGGGAGAGTTCTCGGCGCCAGATTGATAGACGGCCGAGTACACCAGTCCCCAGAAAGTCGAGCCCAGGGCGGGGAACATGGCGACGATGCCCCAGTTTGTCGCAAAGTTCTCGACGCCCCAGATGACGGTGATGATGATGGGCGTCAGGCTGAAGACGGCGCCGTACCCGGAGCCGATCAGACCGGACACGATCCAGAACCGCTCGCCGTGCTCTTGGATGAGGCCGGAGGCTAGGGCGACCAGGCCTAGGGACAGGATGATGGCGAAGAAGAGCAGGAAGGCGACGCGAGAGATGGTGGGTCTGCCGCGGAGGAAGGGCGACGTGGAGGAGACTTGTAGGTGCTGCGTCTGCGGCGAGGGCGCGAGGAGGTCTGTCAGGGTGCCGGTTGCGAGACGGGCGATGGTGCTGGTGATGCCGACGATGGAGACGTGCGTCGCGGCCGAGGTCGGAGGTCCGACGTAGTGCATGGTGGGAGGGTACAGCGTGCCAATCACGGTGCCCAGGTTGTTGATGAAGGCTTCACCGGGTCCAATCATCAGCAGGAATCCGAGAGCGAAGCACCACATGGTCTTGTCCGTGAGGAAGCTCCTGGTCTCGGCGTTGAGGACGAGCTTCTTCCTGAGCTTGGCATCGTCTTCCGCCGGTCCCAAGACGCCGCCGTCTTCCTCGTCGTCGATCTGTCCGATTGCGCCGTAGTTTCTGCTGCGTTCGAGACTGCGGGCACTGAGGAAGGAAGTGCTGCGCTCCAAGAGGCCGCTTCGCTCCAGCTCCTCAACGGCTTCCTCGAATATCTCTTCTTCGTCGACAACCTTTAGCGTGAAAGAGCCAGTCACTCCCACCACCAAAAGCAGGATGGCGAGGAAGACGAAGAAGTGGAACACGTCCAAGTCTCCAGCCGAGCCGTCCGGCAAGCGCTCGTAAAAGACGTGACTGCCCAACTGACTGAGCCACATGCCGCTCAACCCAAAGGCGGCAATCGGCACAGCCAGCGCCAGTCCGCGATGCTTTCCCTTGCCAAAGTTCTTGGCGCACGTCGCGACGGCGGCGAGGTACATGGAGCACGTACCGACGCCCACGCAGACGAAAGCAAAGATCATGAGCGGGTACGTCCAGTCGGCGCCGCCGCCGATGCGCCGTCCGGCGTAATCGCGCAGCCCGCCGAGGTTCTCCGCCTCGAGCTTCCGGTACGTGCCCGCGGCGATGGCGTAGCCGCCGCTGAAGAGTATAGCCGCCAGGAGCGATAAGGGCGGGGTGCCGACGCGGTCGCAGATGTAGCCGAGGAACGAGACGGGGAGGTAGAGGGCGACGGAGCTGCTGATGGCTAGGCCGTTGACCTGGAACTGGGTGTAGTGCAGGCGTTCCTGGAAGATGTGGCCGTACATGGAGAAGACGGTGATGGAGCCCGCGCAGAGGGCCGAGATCAATGCCGCGACGAAGGAGATTGCTCGGAGGGTGGTGGCCGCGCGGGGGCTTGGACGTTTCCGCCTCGGTGGTGTTTGGGAGTCGAAGGAGGATCTCGAGCTGAAGCGGCTGATTGTGGAGGAAGCGTCGTCGTCGTCGTGAGCTCCCGCGACGAGGGTCCGGTCATCGGACGGGGTTGGGGTGTTTGCGGCTCGCGCCATGGTGAATGACGGGTTGGTTGTGTGGGAGGTTCAGTCGGGTTCGGAGATGCGTGGAAGAGAGTACGGATTGTCGAATTGGAGATATGTGCCTTGGTCGGCTATGGGTAGCCAAGGGAAGAACCGACAATTAGACAGAAAAAGAAGGGCAGTCGCTGTTCATTATTGCGCAGATGGAAGAAGTGAGGTGGCCGGATCCGCGAGACTCGAGTCACAAACAACCAAGATCAAACATGACGTGCTCAAGAGGGAGGGCGAGGAGAGGAGAGGAGAAGTCTCGGGTTTGCGGATAACGGATGGATAGTCGCGGACGGGATGGAACTGACTGGGGGGGAAGAGG